ATATACAGGGTAAGTTTTCTACGATGTTCTCTATGGGTATCTTGGAAACTACTGGAGATAGAGAGTCGGTTAAATGGGGAAAGAAATGCAGTTTTGTGGGTTCATAAATATGCATGTATATTTTTAACACAATCTCATTAAGAATGTGATTATCTACAACTTTTATCTGAAAAATTTGTGTCTAAAATATATTATAATAGAATTAGGGACCATTTTTAAAATAGCCGATTTTTTTTTTCGAAATATCTAGTAAGCTATAAACTTTTTCAAAAATCTTAAAGGCGCATACTTATGACCCCACAAAACTGCAATAATTCTTTCCCCATTTAACCGACTCTATCTCCAGCAGCTTCCGAGATACTCATAGAGAACACCGTAGAAAACTCACCTTGTATAGGCTATAACTTATAAGAATTAGTTCGGTAGTTCGTAGTTTGTAGTTAAGAAATAAAAAATTCCATGAGACAAATTATTTCATTCTTTAAAGTTTGATCTGCAATAAATTACTTGGAAAACTATTTATTTAGTTAGAACTATTTGTAGAAAGTGCCTCTAGTAAAAATCTTAATTAAAAAAATCTTAAACTTTAATTTATATTATACAAACATTATTAACTAAAAATTAGCCAAATCGAACCAATCCTTTTCAACCTGACTGCGCTCACCAACAAAAACCTTTCATTTTTATTTATTTAGATGTGACATTGAACAATACAAATAAACAAGCTTTTTATGAACTTCATCTCGATCTTTTTTCTTCTACCGTAATTACGTATTGTTTTATTATGACTCTCTCCTGGCAATTTTCCGGCTTACAGAAAAAAAGAGAAACCTCTCCTTCAGGTGCAGCAGCGACGACATCGGCCATCTGTATCTTCAACATCATCGCCCGCAGCTACAGATCGGCACAAGTAAAAAGGCAGTTTCTCGGAACCTTTTAAGACTTTTGACATAGTGAAAACATTGTCAACCGTATCGTTTATGTTAGTTATTCCGCTCGGTATGGTTTGTTTCCGTTTATAAACTATTTTTTTAAACGACTTTAATGGTTGTGGAAGTTTGAAGAATGCACATGACCGCATACATATTTGAATTGATATTTCAAGAATTCCCTATATGAAGAATTATTATTGCATATAATTTTGTAACCGTGATAGGAATATTAAGGATTAAATTAAATAGAAGATAAATTCTTAATTTTGTGTGTTCCTGCCATGCATTTGTACACATAATTTTAAATTTTACATTTAAAGATAAAAAAAATACGAAACAATTTTTTCAACAATACATAAATAAATTCAAATAACTCTAAAATAACCGAAATGTTTTACTTTGAAAATTTCCAAAAAAATAATTTTTTTGCTAAAATTTTGAGAACCACTGGATCTTTTCTGGATTTTCTTTCTTATAAATTTAATCTACTACCTATGTTGCCATAATATCAACAAATTATATATTTTAACTTAAAACTAAAAAAAAATCCAAATTTTTTTCAAAAAATCCCAAATTTTCATTTTTTTTCGCGAAGAAATTCATAATCGTGTTTATGGAATCTAAATATACTACACCTAAAAATATTTGCACTTATTGAAAAACTCACACTGTATACAGGGTTGTTCGCCACATACGACGCGGAGTATTGTAGCTAAACTATTAGATTTTTGCAAATTGTAAGTTTTGGGTTCGTTGAAGGACTATTAGAGCTACAATTTAAAAATATTTTTACATACAAAGTGGCCCAAATAAATAAAAAATATCAAAGTTGTATTTTTTTAAATGGAACACCCTGTATATTATTGCATTTTTAGTTTCTACGATTAAAATAAAGATAAATTTGATTAAGGTTTACCGCATTTTAATTTTACCGTTTTTGAAATATTTAGGTTTATGTCAAAATACAGTAATAATTTTAAGGCTTTATTTCTTCAGGCGTATTTAAGTTTTTAAAACCAAATAATTGTACTGAAGTATTTCTATTTACTAAATTTTGTGTTGCAATAATAAAAATTATACTACCTTATACAGAGTGTCTAAAAATTTATTTTAAATAATAACTAACAATAAACGGCAATTACTTCTATAATTTAAATAGAACACCCTGTATATTTTATGGGAATCAGATGCACAATTTAATTGTCTATTAAATTGTATTATATCATTTTTTACCTATGTCTTCAGGTTTTCGTAGAAAATGCATTTTCTTATAATTTAGACCACAATTATCAATATACCCATGGAATATTGACATTTTTGATTATTTTTAAAGATCTAACAAATTTTTTTAGACAATTTTTAAAAATTGTCTAAATATTTGTAAAAGAGGACCAATTAATATGATTCCAGTATTCAAACTACATTAATTGACTGTTTGCGTTGATTAATAATAATTGCTTCAAATACTAAAAAACTTAATTTTGTATGTGTATTAGACAGTGCGGTAAAAAATAACACCTTAAAAATTTTATTTCATTTTTTGAAAGATGCTTATTTAACAACAGAGACGTTCATTTTCATAACTTATTATTATATTGATTTCTGATTCCAAATCCACATTTATTTAGAATAATTTATTAACTAACACAGTTAAATATGTAATTAATTAGTATTTGGGCGGAAATAATGGTGATATATTTAATTATGGTACACTCTTTTATAAATATTTAAATAGTTTTATTTTTGTATACAAATAGGCTGGTAATATTATCGTTTTTAGCACCTGTACATTTGTTGCTTTAAAAACAATCTAGAATGTCAATATTCCATGGGTATATTGATAAATAAGGTCATAAGTCGAGGAAAAGGCATTTTCTACGAAAACTTGAAGAGATAGGTAAAAATGGTATAAAACAATTTGATGGACAATTAAATTGTGCGTCTGATTCTCCTCAAATATACAGGGTGTTCCATTTAAATTAAACAAGTTATTGCCGTTGAAAGCTAGAAATTATTTAAAATAAATTTTTAGACACTCTGTACGAGGTAGTATTATTTTTATTATTGCAACACAATAACTGATCAATAATTAAACTTCAGTAAATATTTAGTATTAAAAACTTTGATACCCTTGGAGAAATAAAGCCTTAAAATTTTTACTACAATTTCACAAAATTGAAAATATTTTAAAAACGGCCAGGTTTAAGGGTGATAAACCTTAATCAAATTTACCTTTATTTTAATCATAGAAACTAAAAATGTAATAATATACAGGGTGTTCCATTTAAAAAAATACAACTTTGATATTTTTTATTTATTTGGGACACTCTGTATCTTGTAAAAATATTTTTAAATTGTAGGTCTAATAGTCTTTCAACAAACCCAAAACTTACAATTAGTAAAAATCTAATCGTTCAGCTACAATACTCCGTGTCGTATGTGGTGAACAACCCTGTATACTGGACTACTTGCTATACTCAAATATATATTGAAAAAATTGTTTCGTATTTAAGTAAGTAGGTAATAAAAGTAAATTGGATATTTTTGTGTGGATTTTTAACTATAGCAGCAATGTCGCGAGGAGCATCAGCAAGGTTATCTATCTAGTTATTGTATGCAATATTTATGTAAATTTAATGAAGACCATTATACTTAAGTAGGTTTGGAAAGAAAAGTTAAATTTAAATGTAAAATCTGTCCCTCTTTTGCAGGTGACATAGATATTTATAACTAAAGTTCAGGTAGATATGCTAACATTAATACGCTAAAACACTGCCGTACTAGTAAATTGTTTACATAATTTTTATAACACAAAATCCTATATTTAATCATAAATCGTATGAGGGGAACTTAGTAGAAAACATTTCCACAAGCTGGGAATGAAAATAGAAATAGTACTTCATAACACTTGACCTGACACGATACTAAATGCCAAAATATGTTCAAAAAGCTCCATCTCAAAATGAATTCTTAAAAATAAGAATTACGATAAAAAGTAAAAATTTCAAGTTAACGTCTCCTTTTTGCTGCCAGGGCTAATCTGGACGGGGCCTACTTTGTTTACGCGGAATCCGAACCGCGGTCCTCGTCCATATCATGGACAATGGCCTACCGACTTGGCAAGTGTCTAAATCGACTCTTACTCACGAGATATCCGATCTCATCCGGCCTAGAACCGGCGTGAATGAGCAGTGTGTGTCAATAGATTTTACACTTGTGCCTTTATTGGACAACAGCACGAAACAGAGTTTCGAACCGGTCACCCGTCCATCCACTAGTATCGCCTTACGTCGCTTAACTTCGGTGTTCTAATAGTCTAAGAGCTAGCAACGTTTTCGAGAAAGTATTTTAAGACGTCTGGCTCTTTGACATATATTTTACTATGCTCTATGAAACAGCATACGGCCCGTCTGGCTGCCGATACCCGTTGCGTTCACTACTGCGCATCGAAAGAAGATACTATATTTTTTATTAATTTAGTCCTATAAATTCTAGTATTGAATATAAATCGAACATGTCTCCATAGCGCAGTGCGTAGAGTTTCCGACCACGAACCGAAGATTCATAAGAGTTCGAATCCGGGTCAGGTCAAAGAGTTTTTTATTTTATTTTCGTTTATATTCTGATAGTAGAGTATTAAAAAATAATTATGGTGATTCAAAAACAAATATTTAAAACTTTACAATCAGAATATAAACGAAAATAAAATAAAAAAGTGTTTGACCTGACCCAGATTCGAACTCTGAATCATTGGTGCGTGGTCGGAAACTCTACGCACTGCGCTATGGAGACATGTTCGATTAATATTCAATACTAGAATTTAAAGGACTAATAAAAATATAGGATCTTCTTTCAATGCGCAGTAGAGAACGCAACGTTTACCGGCAGCCAGACGGGCCGCATGCTGTTCTTGAGAGTATAGTAAAAGATAGATCAAAGAGCCAGACGTCTTAAAATACTTGTTTTTCCGACGTTGCTAGCTCTCGTACTATAATGGGAACCGGTGTTTCGACGTAGCTGGGCCCTTGCCTGAATTACGATAGAATCTCAATCAGTAATATTACTTACATTAAATCGGGTCTGAAGTGATGTATAATGGCACAAAAAGCAAGGCCGTCCCTCCACGATGTAGTCATGTTTTCAATTTTGACACCAGGGTATCCTTCTGTCATTTTACGACACCACAACTCCAATCCTTTCATCCCCTTGCGTTCACTCATTTTGATATTGGGTATTTCTTATCTGAAAAGAAAAAAAGAAGATTAATAATCGATATATTTTAAATAACAATATGGGAAAAATAAAACAAAGTTTTCTTTAATGAACTAAATGGTATTTCCTAAATCAATCAATGTAAGCCAAATGAACTACTTGTTCACCACAATATACCAAAATCCTGCTACTTTCAACACTGGACGCGCGTTTCGCTCCCAATTTTAGTTAGCAAGTCTCCAGTGTTCAAAATATAGTGTTTTGGTAAACTAGGCGTGTTGTGGTAAACTAGTGATTTGTGTTGTTGCAATTCGAAAGATTCCATTGTGAAATATATTAATTTGCCAAAAAAGTTCATTCTTAAAAGTTAATTCAAATTCAATCCTATCATTACCAATACCAACATCTTGTTCTAGATACCTACTGTGTTTATTAGTTAAAAGATATCAATGATCGCATTAACTGATGGTGACCTCATAAATGACCTAAATACAAAATATTTTCATGGTGTCTGTCTGTCCGTCTGTAACACGATAACTCAAAAACCGCTAAACCGGTTTTAACCAAATTTGGCACAAAATACTGTTTGGCACCCGAGAATCTGGCCATTAGTTTTTGGTGGGGGTGGGGGGTTGGTAAGGGGGTATGGGAGGGGGTTAAAACTTTTAAAAAATCGTAACTCCAAAATTACAGTAGCTAGCGAAACGCGGTTTTCAATTTAAGAATAGGAATAATATTTGCAACAAAATTTGTAATAACATCAAAATCAGTCAAAGTCGCAGTTTTTGAGATAAAAAAATTGGAAAAATTCTTTTTTTTTTTAGATAAAAAAATGAAATTTGGTATGTTTAATTATTTATACTAATGCACAAATGTACACGTTTTTCATGATTGGTCTTTATTGCGATTTAACGTAACCCAAAACAATTATTCTGTTTTACATATTATGTCCTGGTTGTCCTTGTCCGATAACAAAGAACAAGTTTTGGTTACGTAAAATCTTAATAAAGATCACTGAAGTTCAAGCTGTTTAATGTAATATTGCAATAATGGACAAACCTAAAACTAAGATGCTTTCTTTCAACTTATTGCGAGAACTTGAAAATTAAGATCATTTACATCGAAGAAGAAATAAAAAAAACCGTAAATCTTAATAATAATATTAATCAAGGGTGTCTTACGTCAAAATATCACATCTTAAAAATGTACTACACGCAACGGCTATTAAAAATACATCGCCGGACACCTTTACAACCGCCAATAATAAAATAAACATCACGATTAACAGTACCGAAACAGCCATTTCAGCTTATTATGATCGAAAATTAACATAGTCGGACTACAGCCCCGGGCGGCTCTAAACGGAATACACAGGGCCTATCTAGGTCAACATACTCTTCGATTCTTTTATAGATTCTTGCGTCATTGAATTATTTTCCTTATTTCTGTATTATGTAAAGTGAGGGGCGAGCATACTCTCTGAGCTAATAATATATTCTTTGTTTTAGTTTAAAATACAGTATGACGAAAAAAACTTGAATTTACAACTTAGAAAAACGTAGAGTTTCTACTCACTTTACTTTTTTCTATTCAAATATTTTTTTACTAGTCATTCTCAATTTCATTCTCAGGTTTCTGGAAATATGTCAAGCATAGTGCGGCCGATAGGCAAGCGACAATGTCTTCTGTCCTAGAACAGACCGGACAATGTTGGTTGCGTCCAATATTACAGACTTTTGCATATTACTGTAAGTAGCCCATGGTATTGATAGAGCTTCCATACTTTCTTTTAAAGTTACAGGTATCAACTCCATGGATGAAGCAATAACGGGAACAATTGTTACGGAATCCATGCCCCACATTTTTTTAACCCCGCTCCTAAGGTTCTCATATTTGGTACGTTTTTCTGTGTATTTTAACTTAACATTGTTATTGGGAACCGATATATCTACTAGTAAGACTTTTTTAACTTTAGGAAGAATAATTGTTATGTCTGGCCTATTATATATGTTCAATTTTAATATCAGTAATGATGGTCTTGTCCCAATAGATTTTGACATTTTCGTTTTCAACTACTGGTGGTGGTTTGTATTTGTAATAGGGTTCGTTGTCGTTAATTTTGATGTTGTATAATTTAGCAATCTCCAGATATACAATTGTTGCTATTCTGTTATGCCGCGTTCAAGGTATTTATTTCCAGCCAAGGTGGGACAGCTTGATAGAATGTGTTCAACAGTTTCACTCGCAGGGTTACACATTCTGCATAGATCGGTATCCAATGTTTCATTCAGAATATACTTTCTATGGTTTCTTGTATTGATGACATTATCCTGGATTGCCATCATAAAACCCTCTGTTTCCGTATAAATGTTTCCCTTGACCAACCACTCCAAAGACGCTCTTTTATTAACGTCATCCCTTTGCAGATCACTATAAAACCTTCCGTGTAGCTGTTTTGCAGCCCATTCTCCAACATGTTCCTGGACCTCATCAGTTTTTAAAATAATTGGGTCTCTTTGTTTTAAATTTAAAGGTGTGTAGTTATCGTCTGCATTAACCATAGCACGGTGTAATTCCTTACGCTGTTTGTAGAAATATAGCCGAAGTTGCTCTTTCTGTTCTCTACAGGTCTTAAGTAGGTCTTTTTTGTATTCCTCGTCCTCCTAAATGTCTGGGAATGTTAATTCGGTGCTTCGACGATCGCGGGTGATGCATGCGATATTTGGTTAACTGCACTCTTATACTTCTATTTATTGCTTCGAGATCTGTCTTTGTCCATTTTATAATACCAAAAGAATAGCTGAGTACCGGAAGTGCGTAAGTATTTATTGCCTTAACTAGATATTTGGAATCTAGCTTGGTTCTCAGTAAACTTTTCAATCTTGTTTCAAATTGTCTAGTCATCACTTCTTTAACTTTTTTTTTGCTAGTTATTATTATTATCATCATTTTCAGCTTATTCAACCATTTCCAATTATGGTGTAGCCTCCCTTACATATTTAGATACTCACTTTGTATAGTTGGGCCCATTGTTGTCTATTCTTGGCTATGCGGGCCCAAGTTATCCCTGCAAATTTCCTAATATCATGGTTCCACTGTTCCAATTCAAAATGATTTATTAAAAAATGGAAAAACGTAGGCACTTTGGTTTTATTTCCATCACTAAAATTAATATTGATTATATAGAATTTGCGTTTTTTCCATTTCTCCAAAATTTTCTAAAAACTTATACCCAGAAAACTCTGAACTATTAGTTTTTTTCTTCTTTGTCTTTACTAGTATCTGCAGCATTACTAGTGTTTTCTTTATTATCCTTTAAATCAACGTTATCAGTACCAGTTTTAGTTTCCTCTACAAAATCACTGTTTTTTCTCTTAGGGTCATCAAAAGTTTGTATTTCATCATTACTTAAAATATATTCTTGATATGCATTTCATCTATATTGTTTTCTTTTTATGACTTTATGTATCCAAATTCATTTTTAGTATCTTTCTGATTCTGATCTACCATACTGCTACCATGGATCCATGGATGTAAACTTGTTTGGAAGAAACTACTGACTAATAATAATAGTGCTTTAAAAATTAAATGGTTAATAGTTCTTTAAGAATTACCGGCATGTTTGTGTTTCATTATTTCACAAATTCAATTGTCAACATTTTTAACAGGAGATAGTATCAACCTCTTTAATACAGATTATTTTCTTAGTCCACTGAAAATAATAACTAAACCTCGTAATAGATCGTTAGTGTCTGTCTAACTTCTAGGTACTATATTTACCAGTTTTCTCTACTTTCAGGAAGAACTGCGAAACGATACTAAACTCATTTACCAACTTACGGTTCTCAAGAATTATAAGTGTCCTTTAACCATTATAAATCATCACAAAATACGAGTATAGCAGAGCAGCAAATTATATTAATACAATAATTCATATTAGAGTAAAGTAAATATTTCAGTTAACGTCTCCTTTTTGGTGCCAGGGCTAATCTGGACGGGGCCTACTTTGTTTAGAAGGAATCCGAACCGCGGTCCTCGGCCATATCATGGTCAGTGGCCTACCGACTTAGAAAGTGTCTAAATTAACTCTTACTCACGAGATATCCGATCTCATCCGGCCTCGAACCGGCGTGAATGAGCAGTGTGTATCAATAGATTTTACACTTTTCCCTTGGACAACAGAAGTGACAACAGAAGAGTTTCGAACCGGTCACCCGTCCATCCACCAGTATCGCCTTACGTCGCTTAACTTCGGTGTTCTAATGGGTGTTTCCACGTAGCTAGGTCGTTGCCACAATTCATATTAAAAGTAACTGCCATTTTATGTCGAAAAAAAATTCGGCAAAAGCTACTGGCATGAAATTTATATTTAGAACATATTTTTTAAATCCCAAAAAAAAACAAACTGAAATTGTGATGATTTAAAAATGGTATTTTTACTAATGATTTAAAAATTAAAAATTTTTTACTAATGATTTAAAAACAATAGCGCAATTCTAAATTAATAAACTAACTTGTTGTTATCTTATTATTAATCATTGTTACGTTATCTTTAGCTGCTACCATTATATGGACTTATTAACATGGATAAAAACGAACAGTTCTATAAAGGAAGCAGTTAAAGTGGAAGCTAAGTAACATTGGAAACCAAGTAACATTGGAAGCTTGTGGAAATTATCTGAACTGATCTTATGATTGAATAAAAAAACAATCTGAAAGAACAGCACATTACATATATTCATTTGAGCCCCAATGCATTTTTCTTGGAGGTTTTAACACACGTTGTCTAAGTCTCTAGTCAAACTAATTAAACAACACTAACAATGTTAAAAAGGTGTCATGTAAGATACAATAATCTTTAACACTATTTTGGGGGTAAAAATATGGCAGCAGTATCAGGTCGCACGACCATTTCAAACTTAATTTCATTTTCTCAGCTATTTAACAAAGGAATCTCTTGCCTTCACGATAAGACATTACAAATATCAATAATTACAATGCTACCTTTATATCCCAAATGATTAGCATGT